AAGCCTTCCACGGGCCTGCATTTACAGACTAAAAACAGAAAAATAGTCATTTTTAACGAATTTTAAATGAGAAAAAAAATTTTAAAAATGTGTTTTACCAATCTGAACATATTGAATTTTATATAAGTTAAACATAAATATATGGAGAGATTTAAGAGTTATTTATCCGTTTCCATGAGTATTTGAAAATCTGGAGATTTTTTAAAGCATGATTCCAATTGATAAAATTTTCTACTCCCCTTATGAAAGGATTTGCAAATAAGAGCAATTAACTTTTTGACATTGGTTTTTGAAATTATTAATCCATTATCAATGAACTTTGCTTTGCATTTAATCAAGCTTTAATGGCCAAATTGCCATTTATATTGAATAAAATGGATGTAAAATGTAGGCGGAAATCGAGTTAACGTGCGTAGTTCTTACAATAATAACAAAGAAGAGGCCCATGGACCACAACGCTCACCTGAGCATATTGGCTAGGAAAAGGGAGAAATCAGTTTAGTATTGAAAAGATTATGTATATAAGTGATCGCAAATAATACCCGTCTTCCATCCCAACCCCCTCAAGGGGAAAGGGATGATTTGTTCAAATTTGAATCTACAGTACCTGAGGATGCTTCCATATTTCTTTGACTAATCATGACTTTAGAAGGCTTTTTTTTTCTATATATTTGATCTTCTATTGTGGCCCTACCCTATTCTCGAACATGATTTGAACAAACTTGAATCTACACTTCCTGAGTATGCTTCTGAATTAATATGACTAATCATGGATTTGCCATTCTTGGGATAAAGATTTTTAATGGTGTATCTAATGCATTCCCGTGTAAAACGTTGATCACCAATTGTGGTTCCTCCTACCCCAGGGGGGTCATGATTTGAACAAACTTGAATATAAACTACCTGAGGATGCTTCCATATAAATATGACTAATCATGGATTTGCAGTTCATGAGAAAAAGATTTTTAAAGATATTTCCTATGTATACCTATGTAAAACTTTGATCCCCCATTGTGGCCCCTCCCTATCTCCAAGGGTCATGATTTGTACAACATTGAATTTACACTACCTGAGGATGCTTCCACATAAATATGACCAATCATGGCTTTGGTGTTCTTGACAAGAAGATTTTTTTTTAGAGATTTTTCCTCTACATTCCTATTTAAAACTTTGTTCACTCATTGCGACACAACCCTAGCCCTGGGGGTCATGATTTGAACAAACTTAATTGAATATATACTACCTAAGGATACTTCCATATTAGTACCACCAAACATGGTTTTACTGTTCTTGAGAAGATTTTTTATGATTTTTTCCTGTTTTCCTATGTAAGAATGTGATCTCCCATTGTGGCCCCAATCTATCCCCAAGGGTCATGATTTGAACAAACTTGAATCTAAACTATGCCAGGAAGCTTTCACATAAGTTTCATCTTTTCTGACCCAGTGATTCTTGAGAAGAAGATTTTTAAATGACCCACCCTATTTTTACTTTTTTCTTACTTATCTCCCCTTGGAAGATGGTGTGGCCCTTCATTTGAACAAACTTGAATTCCCTTTTCCAAAGGATACCCTGTACCAAATTTGTTGAAATTGGCGGAGTGGGTCTGGAGAAGAACGTGAGATTGTAAAAGAAAGTTTACGATAACAACAACAACACCAAGAACGACGGCAGACAACAGACAAATTTTGATCAGAAAAGCTCACTTGAGCATTTGGCTTAGCTAAACTAAGAACTGGTGAAATTTTGGATTTGTTAAACAATGAAGGCGAGAAAAGAGTAAATTAGAAGAAGGATTATTTCCTCTTAAAAACAAACATTTAATTCCCATATTTCCTTGCAGGCAAATAATTCGATATCTTATTTGACGCGGGGAAGGGGCGGGAGGTGAAGTAGTGATGTTGGGGGTTTGCATATTTGACAAAAGAACACACTTTTAGTAGGGTCTTGGGTAACATTTGTTTGTATATGTATTTATACTAGAAATATTACTGAAAATTACAGTAACATAACTTTTGCCTGGGGTAAAATATCTAGCATTAGCTTTTAGTGTTTCTTTTTAATCCATGAAAAGTACCTGTATTTGCTGGTTTTATTTATAAGTATTTTATTTAAATCGTTTTAATGGCTAATGTCAGATAAGGGGGAGGGTAGTTCTTGATAAATTGCCAACAAATAATATACAATGGTGCTCCCTCAATAATGACAAATGACTGTGCCCTTTTTTATTACTTGTCGAGGGGTTTTTGTTGGGTTGTGCCCCCCCCCGGGGGGGGGGGGGGGCACTGATAATTTTCTTTTTACATAGAGTAATATGTTTTGTATTTTGATTTTTTATTAGTATTTTGGTATAAATGCATATACCAAAAAATGTTACTCAAGATCCTGCTAAAAGTTTGTCACCCCATTTTTTCTGACGATTTGTAAGCCTCTCTCCCTCATCAAAAATATCTATTGAATAATTTGCATGCAAGGAAATGTGGGAATTAGATGTTGGAAGGTGTATTTCATAGGAAATACACCTTCTAATTATTTATTCCTTCCTGGTGTTCAACATTTTAAAAAAAAATTGTTATTATTGTAATATTCTTGTTATTAAAGGGTTTGTTCAAGCATGTGTATTCAAGATATTAAAGATAACAAAACAGGCAATATCATGTTTGAGCAGTAAGCAGTAATCAGTTGGCAGTAAGCAGTTTGCTGTCGTATATGGAATTTCATAATGTAGAGATAAATATTTATGCCACAATAACACTAATAAATTGTAGATTACTGAATGAAAGCCAGCTTGACCTCGCTGTACTGGCTTAAACATATTTTCTCTGTACTAGAGACGTGGATCAAGCTATTGGCATATGTTGTAAATGTAAACATGAAATGAAAATGAAAGAAGCGTGATCTGACAAAAATGGAGACATATTCTTCAATGTATTAATCAATATTTTTAGTTCATTAAATTGAAAACGTATAGACCTTATATTAAGCCGTGGAAAGGCACACTTGTACAAAAACATAGTGGAATGACAGGCACATCCCAAAAATTGCATAAGTTCAACGATGCCAGCATCACTATAAATATGATTTTTTTTAGACACGTTTAGCAATTATCCCTTTTTCGTACAGTGCCAAGAGCTGGTTGTGCGCTACTGCTTTATTCAGTGAATTCCATTATTTCAATGTGTATATTACGTCTATATAGAAAGTATTTCGAAATACGGCTAAATTTTATATGATTCCCAAGCATACGGAAGTTGCCCCCAGCAGTTTTCATGTTAAGGATTTTGTCTCGCTGAAAATATAATTTTCATATTGAAAAGATGTCCACACACGTTGAACTTTTAATCTTTGTAGCCATTCATTTTTTTTTTTTTTTCTAATTTTAATCTGTCACGTGAAAATCAGTTGATAAAAGCGATGTAGCTTAGCCGAACTCAGCAGAGACCCCATATATACACTTAACAAAACTTCTAAGTGTTCACGCTAATAAATGTATTTATTTAAAAACTACATGATAGAATGGTATGATATTTTCAATTATTATAACCATATTATTTTGGACTGCTTAACTTCTAAATAATTTCAGCACCATAAACTTTTTTTTTTACTTAAGCTTAAGATATGCTTTATGATCCTGGGCCCAGAGCTGCAATAAATTGGCACAATTAGAACCCGAGGGAGTTTCAACAAATTGGAAGACCTGGTCAACAAAAACTAAATTAAAGAGATCATAGTTTGAAACTGTTGTAAAACTATAGGCAGTATTTATCCATCCTTTTTTACATCAGAGCACTTTTATATGTATGAAGGGCATTCGTAAAATCAGAATATTGTCTTTGAAAAGAGAGTTAACGTTTATAGATAACCACTCGCAAAGTTTTGAAAAAATTCCGTTTTCCATTTTAATTAGTGATGAGGCAGTAGTTTAATTATGATGTCAAAAAGAATCACTTTTGAATTATCGTAAGGAATAATTGCATGTATTTTAGATGTTGAAAAAATAACACATTTAAATGTTTTGGGGATTTTGGCTTCTAAGTATTTTTGTTTGAAAACTGATATTTGTTTTTTCAGAGTTTTTTTTTTTTTTTTTAATTTTTTTATTTATTTATTTTTTTTTTTTTGTATTCACGTTTAATCAATTAACAGTTGTTCCACACTACTTGAAGTTTCACCTTAGCTTCTGTTATATACTTCAGGTGTTTGGTTATTCTTTTAAAAAATAAACGTATTTCCGGTGAATATTAATTTTGTAAATCAAACATACAAGTGATCAAGTTTTTCACAAATTCTTAATCACATTGAAGTCATCCACTAGAATTATGCAAACAGAAAAAAATTGGAGTGAATTTAAAAAAAAAAAAGTTGAAACTTAAGTTTATATTCATTCAAATCCAGCCATGCAGGAGAGATATTTAGGTTTCAGTGATAAGTCCTTGAACAAATATAAAGTCTGGAAAAGTCATAAAAATTGTCAGTCGATATTTTGGAAAGAATTTTTCAAGCACAATTTTTTTTTTAATTATTAGAATGACGAGGAATTAAGTGCGAACACAGGTGCTTGGGGACGGGACCCCCTCCCCATGTTCCGTACCCCAAGAGTTATTTGAATTTGTTATAAAATATTTTTCTTCGACACATTTACAAAGTATTGCAACTGAAAAAGCCAAAATATAACCTTAAACGAGACTTTTATAAAAATTCACACTCTCTGATATACATCTTTCAGTATCAGAGAGTGTAATTTTTTTTATAAAAGGCTAGTTTAAGGTTATATTTTTTTTTTTTCCAGTTCCAATACTTTGTGAATGTGTCATAGAAAAATATTATCAGACAACACCTTCTTTGTAAGGAAAACAAATGGGACACGGCTATCCTTCAAATGAAATCGGGTTTGGGATTCGGTAAATCGGAAATGAAAACATTTGTGGATTTCCGCCAATTTTTATGTCTAGCGATGTATATTTATACTTCTAAATGTTTTTAAAAATGTAACTAAGCTAATGAATTTCAGCAAAGCTTTACGGTGAGATGTTAATGGTTTTTGACAACTCACAATATAATTTAAAAAGAAAATGTATGCATCCTGAATTTCCTCGGTAATTTTTCTTCATTCCTTAAAGAACCATAAAAATTTAGTGTTGGAATACATACAGTAAGAGTTTTCAACCAAAGCTTCAATCATCGGTTTTGAAGCCAGTTGGTGAACATAAATGTTTATTATGGGTGACAAATCTGATGACGATTTGGACGAAATTGACTTGTCAGAAAAGATAAAGCAGTTAGAACGAGAGAAAGAACGTCTTGAGAGGAGGAATATGAAGAAGAAATACGCGGAGTTAAGTAGGTCAGTTGGTCAGCTACGGAGAAGTACAGAGTACGAACCTCATTCCTCAAGTATCAGTCCCTCCCGTGACAAAAATCACCCAAACAGAGGTAAACACTTGTTTTTATCCATTACCATGATAATTATCAGAAAAAGTAAAATTACAGTGTTGTTGATATATTTTTATGAAGTGTAATCATAATTATTTCTCATATCATCATTTGAGAAGTTTGAGATTTTAAAAATAAAAATCAGATGCACAGTGTACGTGTAAATACAAATCAGGGACATGTACTAAGTATATTATAGGTCATATTATAGGTCTTGGTACAAGCAAGGCACTAAAGCTGAGACAATTTCTCTTTATATATCTCTGTGCTTTCATTTGATTTAAATCTTTTTTTTTATAGCAGCAGTCAAGGAATCAGTGGACAATGACTTTGGCAGCCTTCTCTCAGAGCAGAGAGACAGACTGCGTATGCTTCAGAGGCAGTCAGGGGAGTGCGCCAGTGGGGGGAATCAACCCCGGGGCAGAGATCTTGACCAATCGGATTCAGACTCTGAGGAGAGAAGGAACTGTAAGGCTTATAGACTCCACCTCGCCCCAGCTGCCTCACTCTGAGTTTCATATTTTCAAAATAAATGTATTAACCTGAAATGTGTAACTTAGATACTTGTCACATATGTTCGGGTTCAGAGTTTGCCAACAAGGATTTCATACTTTGACATATAAGTGTTGTTTCTAATGTGCTACTTTCCCTGTCCATTTTCTCCCACAACGATTTAGACTCAAGATGCAGAATAAATATTAGAGAAATAGGAATCCGTACAATATTATTTTGAAAATTATATCTTTCAGTATCTGCACGATGCTTGGACAGAATTGGACAGAACTACTTCTTTATTGCTTTTATGCGTTAAAAGTACATTCATTACATCAAAATTCCTCTTGTAATTGTATTATAAGCATGTACTTAGTAATCACTGCTTTTGTTCACAAATACATTGAACTTATTACTAAACCCTCCCTTTATTCTGTTGTATTGCAGTAGATACAGTCATGTCAAAAGAACACAAACAGAAACTACAGCTTCACAGGGACACACTGGTAGAGAACATGACCCCAGAGGACATCTTTAATGACCTCATAGCAAGCCAGGTCATCTCCACAGCAGATGTCAGTAGAATAAAAGTAGGTCAAAGGTCACAGAATTAGAAAAATAATAGGAAGGGGGATACTGTTAATCAGTTTTTCCTTTGAAAACTTAAATTTTGCATGTAACTTCAATGAATTGTCTCAATCAAAAATAAAGTTTTCATGAACAATAAATGAAAGTTTCTTTTTGGGGAGCACAATAAACTCATAAATAAATTTTTGCAAATTGTTAATGATTTTCACAAACTGCTTATTAATTTTCATTTCATTCTGATTTCAATTTGATAATTTCTTTTTAAAATACAAATAAAAGGCCTGAGCTTTGCTGTTTGAATCTACTAACTGATCAATCAAGTTTAACTGTGTTAACTTATATGTCAGCTTATTTAAGTTGCATAAAAAGTGAAGAAAAGGCACAAAAGACTGTTTATTCTTGGTACTGCCTTGTTGTTACAGTAAAACCCGTTATAGCGAAGTCCTAGGGACCTGTGAATTTACTTTGCTGTATCCGTAATTTGTTATATCCGTATATCGAATTCGTATAAGTACCTTGGTACTGCCTTGTTGTTACAGTAAAACCCGTTATAGCGAAGTCCTAGGGACCTGTGAATTTACTTTGCTGTATCCGTAATTTGTTATATCCATATATCGAATTCGTATAAGTACCTTGGTACTGCCTTGTTGTTACAGTAAAACCCGTTATAGCGAAGTCCTAGGGACCTGTGAATTTACTTTGCTGTATCCGTAATTTGTTATATCCATATATCGAATTCGTATAAGTACCTTGGTACTGCCTTGTTGTTACAGTAAAACCCGTTATAGCGAAGTCCTAGGGACCTGTGAATTTACTTTGCTGTATCCGTAATTTGTTATATCCATATATCGAATTCGTATAAGTACCTTGGTACTGCCTTGTTGTTACAGTAAAACCCGTTATAGCGAAGTCCTAGGGACCTGTGAATTTACTTTGCTGTATCCGTAATTTGTTATATCCATATATCGAATTCGTATAAGTACCTTGGTACTGCCTTGTTGTTACAGTAAAACCCGTTATAGCGAAGTCCTAGGGACCTGTGAATTTACTTTGCTGTATCCGTAATTTGTTATATCCATATATCGAATTCGTATAAGTACCTTGGTACTGCCTTGTTGTTACAGTAAAACCCGTTATAGCGAAGTCCTAGGGACCTGTGAATTTACTTTGCTGTATCCGTAATTTGTTATATCCATATATCGAATTCGTATAAGTACCTTGGTACTGCCTTGTTGTTACAATAAAACTCGTTATAGCGAAGTCCTAGGGACCTGTGAATTTACTTTGCTACATCCGTAATTTGTTATATCTGTATATCGAATTTGTTTTAGTATAAATAGCAAATTTGCAATATACACATTTTCCTTCAAGTATTACTACCGCCTATATGTTAGGGAAGCAATTATTACCAAAAGTACCTTGAATATCTAAGGTTTTATTATGAATTGAATTTTATATACAAATGCTTAACATGCTTAACAAAAATAAAGTCAGTGTAATATATCAAATTTTGAGATCTTTGAAAATTCGTTATATAAGATGTAAATTTTATTATTTTTTTTTACCTCTAGGGGACTCTAAATCAGTTCCCTATATCCGTCAATTCGTTATATCAGAGTTCGTTATAACCATGGAATTTTATGAAGAATTGTTAACAATTTTGCCGGGACCACAAAAAACTTCGCTATATCCATGAATTCGCTATATCCGTGTTCGTACTAATCGAGTTTTACCATATGTCAACTCAACGAACACCTTTTAGGCTCACCTGAGCCGAACGCTCAAGTGAGCTCTTCTGATCACATTTTGTCTGGCGTCCATCTGTCTGTCCATCTGTCTGTCTGTAAACTTTTCATATTTTTGACTTCTTCTCAAGAACCACTGGGCCAAATTCAACCAATCTTGCCACAAAGCATCTTTTCATGAACAGCAAAGTCAAATTGATATGAAAGCATTGTAGATAGTGTAGATGCAATTTTGTTCAATTCATGAACCCGGAGCTATGGTTGTTCAAAAATGGCAATCAAAGATTTGCATAGGAATTATGTATATTTAATGTATAAAAAATCTTCTTTTAAGAACACCTGACCATATTCAATTTTGTTCAGATTATGACCCTTAGGGGTGAGTGGGTCACACTATGCAAGTCTTACATAACTATAAAAGACAAAAATATAAATATTATTTTTCTCAAGAGAGCAAATGTATTTTGATATGGAAAAATTCTCAGAAAGTGCAAATTCTCAGAAAGTGCAGATTCAATTTCTTCTAATCATTGTCCCTGGGGTATGGTGGGCCCACAATGAGTGATTAAAGCTTACAGAGGAATATATAGGAAAAAATCTTTTTCTCAAGAACAGAAAAGCCATGATTAGTCAAACTGATATTGAAGCATCCTAGGGTAGTGTAGAATGAAATTTGTTCAAATGAGGGCCCCTGGGGGGTAGGGTGGGGCCACAATGGGGGATCAAATTTTTACAAATGAATATATGGGAAAAAATCTGCTGCTCAAGAACGGCAAAGCCATTTGTTATATTGATATGAAAGCATCATCAGCTGGTTTAAAATTCAACACCCCCCCCCCCTCCCCATAAACTTTTCAATACTGAATTGATTTTTGCTTTTTTTCCTAGCCAATGTGTTCAGGTGAGCGATGTGGCCCATGGGCCTCTTGTTTGTGTAATCACATTTGATATTTGATTGTAAATGTTTCTTTAACTTGTTAACAGGAGAAAATGACAAGAGAAGCAATGAATGAAGAACTATTAAATAACCTGATTCGCAGGTCAGACAGAGCATATTATGAATTTGTCAAGTCACTGCGAAAAACCTTACAGGGTCATCTGGCTGATTTACTGGATGAATCCTCCACACGACAAAGGCGTACACCAAAACGTAAACGACAAACAGGTAACAAGAAAAAGTCCTAAATGTTTATTAAAGCCTTACTGATACATCAAAATGTGTACCTTTCAGGGTATATCAATTTAGTTTAATCTCCTATGAAAGGATTGAGCTTCTTCTACTTTAAAGACACTGTCACGGTAGCTCAGTTTGTAGAGCACTTGCTCCATGATTGGATTTTTTGGGGGTTCAAACCTCAGCTGTGACTACCTAAGTTGATAAAAAAAAAGGTAGCAACACAGTTCCTTCACCAACCGGTCGACACTTTGGAGTGAAAGTTGCTGGTCTTTCGGATGAGACCTTAAAAACTAAGACCCTATGTCATGGCAGATGTTTTGACCTGAGTGCCGAGTAAAGGTCTATTTGAAGCCTTTCATCAGTGTATGGTGATGTCTCTATATGAATGAAAAATTCTCAAATGGGATGCAAAACAACATACAATCAATCTTTATATAGTGTGAGAGAAGTTGAGGGGGAGTATTGTAGATTTTTTAATCATGTTTTTATGTACTTAACAGAATATGACAAATAATGGACAATTTTTTTTCAGGGGAGATAAACATTGCAGTAGATGTTGAGGATATATCCCCAGCCCCAGGTAGGAAAAAGCCTACCTGCTCCTGCGGAGAAGTGGAGGAGCAGATCCTTATCATGGCAAAAACAGCCTACAAGGCCATCCGCAGGAGGGACAACACACCTGCCTCATTTGAACAATTCAAGAAAGAACTTTCACAGACCAACGAAATTGTTAAAGAAAGCATGGAAATCATGCACACATTAAAAATTCTATGCAAGCATGGAGACTTGGATATTTCTTATGGAAGTGTTATTTTCAGCATCCGGTGCAATTCCTTGATGTGCATTCAAGAGATTTGGATGATGTATAAATCTGGGTCTTTGCAGAGTTTGTTGCAAAGAACTTTTGTGACTAGGAGTTTACTAAGGATTTGTAGTGTTAAGTCTGTGAGGCTAAGAGTGCAGATTTCAGAAACGGAGTATAAAAAATGTCTCAGGGAAATAGGTGAGCTAGACTACATTTAGTCTTTAAATAATTAAATTAAATTGATAACAGCTTTTCAACATGTTCAAAATAAGTATTTTGGTTTTTGCTATTCATGTTCTTACAAGTTTTAGATGCATGCAGTTCTGGTACATGTAGTTAGTTCTTCATTCACCCCTGTACACAAGCATGCTAATATTGTATATTTTTATTGTATCCTTTTCTAGACTGCCTACTTTGAAATTGTTTCGAAAAAAAATAAATAATTAAATTTCCAGCTGTTAACAATTAAATTGATAAACCTTGACCTAAAAAAAACCCTTCTTGGTCTTCTTCAGGTGGCAGAGAATCGAAGACTTTGAAATCATGTCGAGTCTTAAGGGTAAGTGTGTGCATTACCATGTTAATCTTCATTTTATAACAGTTCTTAGGGAATGAAATCAATGGGTTTAATGGTTTATATCTTAACAGGTGTTGGATGATTATTCTTGGTGTGAAAAAGATTGAAAATATTCTCTGTTTAAGAAACCACCGGAGTGGATGATGATTTTTAAATGTAAAAAAAAATATATGATTGTACTATTTTACATACATTGGAAATAACACAGCACAGACTACTAAATTAACATTAATTTCAGAGTGCTAGTCAAATGTCTGAAAATGTGGTTCCTCAAGCAAAGAACAGATCTCCGTACTTTGATTCCAGCAGCAGAAAAAGAAAGGCTTTCACAGAAATGTAAGTTGTCATGGTTCATTAAGCTGTATCTTCACGTCAGACTTTCAAAATTGTGCAGTAACTTTTTGTTGGGTACATGTGTACTGTAAATAAATTTTTCTTAATGCATGTACATGTTAACCACTAGGAGTTTTGAGATAATGAAGTGATCACATAGTTTTGTTGCGATAAACAATTAAATGATTTACAATGTATTTATTTAATTTTTTTTTTTTTGATGTTGAAAGAAAAAAAAAATGAGAATTTCACAAATGTAAATTATCTTGTAAAAATTAGATTTGAAATTCCTGTCAGAGAGAAAGTGTATGGCCATAAATGATAGTTAACATTGATTTGCAGAATTTAATATAGAAGGTACATGCTAGTGGGTCAGTTTTTTTGCCTAGTTTACCAAAAAGGGACAAACCAGTAAATGCCTCGGAACTTATTTAATACTGTATACATGTCTGCCCACTGTAGCTTTTTCTATGTATGCTTATATAATCATTCAAACATCTTTTGAATATGCTATTAGTATTAAATCAGTTCTGAAATACACTGAACATTTACATTTATATTTTCTCAATTTGGTATAAAGAGTTACCTCTCTTTACTTGATATTGCAAGGTTTGATTTAAGGATGCTCTAAATACTGCACACTGAAGAGTTCTTATTCCATGGTATTTTTTTGCAGTCAGTGTGAACTCCCCTTTGATATAAGGTAGAATAAATGTAAATTATAGTAATCAACACAATTTTAAAATACATTGAAGTATTCTCAACATTATACATGTATTATGATAAACCAAGATGAAGTAATTGAGCACATAATTTGAATGTATTTTCTAATGGAAGTAAACAGCAGTGATTTCTGTTCGCTAATAAATTGTTGTCTTTGAACATTTTTTTTTTAAATATATGGCAAATATGGCAAGTAAACTACATGTATTTTGAAAGTTAAATAGATATTAAAACTCAGTATATACATTGTACATCTTCATCATGTTCATATGAAAGAATTTCATCAAAGTAAAAAGAAATTGTTAAAGAAAGCGGAAATTGAAAAGGAATACATGTAGGAATGCTTCTGATTGAGTCACTGTTTTACAATTTTTCTTCATTTTCTGCTTCAGAGAGAAAAACACCTGTGACAGTCCTTGTACCCAGAGCCAGAAGATCTCTCCAGAGTTATGTCCCTTGTATAGCCTTAGATCCCAAGCCGGTTACACATGACATTTAATGTGACAAAGCCCAAACCACTTTTATCTGAATTCAGTGTTATTTTGAATTTACAGCCATATATTTTTCAGTGTCATTTTGAATTTATGAAAGTGCATGAATAAGTTATATAAATTCATTTTCATAAAATCCAGATCACTATTTAATATCTAAACTCGGTGTCATTTTGAATTCACAATAAAATTCATTTCCATATAGCCCAGATCACTATTATCAGAATTCAATGTTATTTTAAAGAAGCCAACTTTATTATCAATTGCAAAATGCAAACCATGCAGAGAAGGAAATATTCTAAATTATACTGGTAAGTAATGTTAGAATCTAGAGTTTTTATCCAAGTTTTTAATTGTTAATTTTTAAAGCCTCTCTTTTAACACCTTGTTAATGAGTATTTCATCCATATCTCCTTAGAAATTTGAAATATTTCAAGACACCAGAACACAAGAGTTCAAATTTAAGATACTTTCTTCTAGTGATGGGCATATCAAATTCCAGCTTGAATATTTAGAAAAATAGAGCCACGTATGAAGATTGTTTTACATTGATATTAATAGAATAACAACACATACAGTTGCGTTTATGTGCATTTTCCATGCTCAGCTTCCTTATTGTGTATTAATTCAATTGTTGATTATTTATTTATGGTTATTGTTTTTCAAGCCATGGCTATCCCCCTCCCCAATAAACCTTTAGTAGAAATACAATTATTATAGTCGTAACTGGTATTTAATACACATATTGCATTGCATACTGAGTCTGAATAGTTTGCAAATGTCACCATAAGAAAATGATAAATCAGAAAGTTCTAGAACAAGAATTTTACATGATAATTTAGTTGTATAGATTTTGGACCAGACTTTTTTATTTATATTCAAGTCTGAAAAAAAAAAAAACCATATTGATTGAAATGTGCACCTAAGATTCCCATTCCTTTAAGCTGGTTGGAGTTATCTAGTATATATTGATACATCCTTAAAAATACATGTACAGTGTATTAAATTATATATTATATTATTGCCAATGAAAGTATAAAGTGTGATTCTTAAGAATAACAAAATAAATTCTGAGGTGAATACATTTATTGTCTTCATCAAATTTTACGTGTACATGCGTGTACCATTGTTTCACTTTTTATTCAACATTTATTTTCTGAATATTATACCCAGTCACTGTGTCAAAGCTATGTTAATTAGCAGTCAAGAGTATTTGAAAACTTCAAAATGTGATTAGTGAAAATTATAATAAGACTTTTAACCTTTTTAAGTGAATACAGTGTCAAAATAGATATTACTTATTTGTCATGGTTTCTATTGAGGAAGTAATTGTTGATTCACAGTATTAAAACAATTTTTTTACTGTTAGTATGGGAAAGCAAGAAAAAGTGTACATATGTGGTACTGACTTCACTATAATTGTAAATTGAATTAAAGATTTGGATTTCAGTTAAAATTATTCAAGTTTTCTAAAATCCTTCAGCATGAGTTGTAGAGATAAGCCCTTATTTAATATAGGAGCACTTTAATCATTTCAGGCGACCTAAATTTTGTCCTCATATTGATATGCACACACCATGTATATCCTGTGTATGCACTTTATTATCTAAGATAAAATGTACAAGGACTTTAAATCTGTGCTCCCTTGAACCGTCTATTTTTAAGCTGAAGTGAACACATCAAGTTAAGTAGGTCAAATGTACTGTTTTTGAGGTAAAGATCTGGCATTATTTCAATGAGCCAAATTGTCAGTTTTGAAGCTTTCTTTTTCATGAAGATAAAATAATTTTTGAGTATATGAAAGGAGATTGTGAACACAGTGGAATGACTGTATAATATATTTTTTTTGTCACAGATTATTTTGTGACAAACTGATACAGCACATGAGTTTTTAAGTGCTTAAACTGATAAAAATTTCCTGCGTACTAAAATATACAGGAAGGTTACTTCTGATCATGAGCAAACATGATTTTTATGTCTTAGCAGTGCATTTATTTTTAAAAGTTGTGCATTTTATAAATGTGTTCAAGAGTATTTATTGTTAATGTATTAATGAAGAATTCTAGTAAAATATCAATATCTTATTCTGTGTTGTCAATTATTTTATAATGATTTTAGGAACCACTCTGCACTTAATCTTGTCAATTGAAAATGAATGGCTAGTATGTAGATTTACATGCATATCCTTTACAACAATAATTTGTCAAAGTCTCTTTTGTAGAAATTTAAAGAGCTGACCCATTTTGTTGTCATAAATTTCTGCTGAAAATTTTCCAGGTGGCCGTTTAAAGAAAGATTTTAAGACGTTCTAAGATTGGGCCACAACTCATCCAAGTCCCCTTGGCCCTCTTGTTCTCCATAGAAAAGTCAAATCTATACCGGAGGATGCTTTTCCATATTAAAATGAATAATAAAGGGCCCATCCATCATCACATTTTTTTCCTTTTTATTACCAAATTTAAAATTATTTCCGACAGTGGCCCCAACTTACCCCAACGGATCAAAATTTGAATAAACTTTGATGATGCTTCGATAAGACTATGACCCGTCATGGCCTTGCTGTTCTTCCGGAGATTTTTAAAGAATTTTTCTTATACACAACCATGCAAAACTCTCCTATTGTGCTCCTACACTGCCCCCTAGGGCCATAATTTGAATGTATTTGAATCTACACTGCCGAGAAGCTTTCATAGGAGTTTCATTTTTGTCTGGCCCAGTCATCCTTGAGAAAAGATTCTGTAAAGATGTCGCCATGTTTTCACCAATTTGCAATTAAGAGGGTGTAGCTCTCCATTTGAACAAAACTTGGAATATTCTCTTCAACCAAAGATGCTTTGTGGCAAGTTTAGTTGAAATTGGCTCAGTGATTTTTTTTTAAAGGAAATAGAAATATTAACAGATGGACTGACATAAAGACAGATGCCTGACAAGATGTGATCAAAAGCTCACTTGAGCTTTCAGCTCAGGTCAGCTAAATACATGTACATGTACATGTATTCAATCCCACATTTCTAAGAGAAAAAAAACCACAACCCTTTCTCCCCCTGAAAATTTTCTGGGCCAATTCATTTCATCAAAAAATTGGCTCCACAGATTTCAATGATTTATTTTCAGTTCAGGCAAAGAAACCTTTTTTTTTTGTAAATAATAAACAACATGAACACTTTTTTTTCATTGTTCTTTATTTTACAACAAATTTATATAGAAACATTTTTGCAAACCTACATAAAAAGAGTCAAACAAATGAAAAATTATGAGGTAAACTTATGTCAACATGTACCAGTACCTTGAAGAGATGATATCTCAAAAGAAGAAAAAAAAAACACTCCAAATTTATGCAAAAGGGATTTCGAAAAATCAACATTGAAAACATAGCACTGGAAAACAAAAAAATAGTTTATGTTTAGCAATTCAAATTTTCTCAACGTATGATCAAAAACATGTTTTAAAAATTAATGAATAATGGTCCACTGCATTTTCATGCAAAAATGCTTCTACACAAAATAATATGTACAATGAAATTTTTCAATACCTTATAAAGTAAACGAAAAAGCCTGCGTTACATAGTACAAAGATTTTTTTTTTTCTTTTTTTAGTGAAGTTTTTCCTTTTTTTTTTTTTTTTAAATTTTTTTACACACATATCTACATGTCTATTCATGACAGAGGACGCAAGAAATTTTTCAAGTTAAAGAGAAAAAAATTGTGAAAATCTAAATGAACTTAAAATTCCATCAACGTTGATTGACGCTGTTAGTAAATGTGCAAAAGGTCACCAAGATGGTATTTGATCAAATGACATTGACTACTTGTTCAAAGTATGTACACTACAAACTTGTTCATTACAAAACAAACTCAAAAAAAGGCAATTGTTGGAAAAATTCTATACACAACATAAAAACTTTTTTTTAAAAAATGGCAACGACACATTTTGTTCTTGAATGCACACAACTTTCAAAAATACCTTTTCAGATTTAATAATAGTTTTTCCCCCTAAAATCATTGAAATAAAGTCAATAGTAAACAAAAATCTACCAACTATTAAAAAAAAAATTTTCTGATCAAAAACAAAGACAAGAAATCATCATCAAGAGAAAGTGGCCCATAATACTAAAAGCCATGTTTGTTAAGGAAAACCTAGTCATCATCGAGGTCGTCAAGGTCAATCTTGTATACCATGTACATGACCTCGGGTACCATGGGAACAATGGGGTCACCAGGGCAGGCCACTGCGAATCCCATGAACATGAAAGTTCGGATCAAGGAGGCTGGAAAACAAAGAAATCAAGGATGAATTTTTGTTCTTTAAGGTCAGATGACACATTCCTCGAAAATATATAATTTTTCCCAAGAATTTGTCATTGAAGTATTGCTACTAAAACTAGTTTCTAGTGATGGGACATCGGTTAATTTTCATAATCGATCATCGGTTGGAATCGGTTACTGCTTCCGATGTGATTTTACCGATTATAATCGGATGTCATAGTTTTGTATATAAAAAGCAGACTATTTAATTATTTCATATTATTTCTGTAACATGAATATGTAAAATATATAATATATAGAGGATATTCAATGTTTTGAAGATGAATAAGGAATTTATTTCACGAGTAGGACAGGATTCGCACTCTTGAAAATATCAAAAAATCCTGTCTTACGAAATAAATTCCATATTCATCTACAAAACATTGAATTTTCTGTTTGTAATATTACATTTTCTTAGATTTTCCCTTTGCCAGCTGTCTTTTCGTAACACGGTGTCATAGGCTATGATGTCATAGTTGAGCGGTTGAGACGTCATAGCTAAGTGATTGCGAGATTGAAAAACGTTGTAAACATGAATTTTTAACGACATATTTGGAAAAACTCTGGCAGTATTATAATTAGTATCTGTGGGGATGGCCCATTAACTCTATCTTATAACAGGCCAAGGATCTTTTTAAAAACACTCTTCGTGAAGGGAAGGAAAATCGTAAGTTTTGCCGCACTTATGATATTCTCACACTGTGAGAATACGATTTTCGATATCCTTTTACACTGTGTTCAGAATATCACTTTTATTCAGTAAATAAATTACAGTATTTCACTGTTGAAAATGTAATAAATTATTTTCTTTGTTGTTTTGCTTCTTTTACACTTTCTATATATGCACCTTTCGGTTCTTAATCACCTCTGCTTCGTGCTAGTTGGTTAGTATCAGATGCAGACGCCATTTTCTTTCATTAGAAGAAATAAATTTTAAACCAGAAATGGATAATTCCGGGATGTATTGTATTAGAAGTATGTTTCCGATGATCGATTATGAAAAATTATAATCGATCATCGGAATCGGTAGCATTTTTTCGTCGACAATCGATGTTTTCTGATTATCAGTACAACACTACTAGTTTCCTCACCAAAAATTGTGGTACCTTTCCTGGCATTTGGGCAAGATACCAGAGGGTGATAGTTCTTATAATATATAATCCATTTGGGTAATCTTTTGAATTGCCAATGTCACAATTTCTGGTGTACTTATTTTTTAAAACATTGAAAACAATTTAGAAATCACAACAGAATGATAATTATGAATAATTTTTCATATAATACCAAGGCAAACAAGGTATCTTTGAGAAACGTGTCATCTGACCTTAAGGTTAAGAAATGGTTATAACATGCAGTTTTATCATGTCTGTGCAAAAAACTTTTTGAATAGCCAGTAGATATTTAGATTCACATTTTAGAGAATATAAAGCCTGCCAGTTTTTTATTGTAGTTTACAATGAAAAAGGTAAATATAACAGTGATCAATCTAAAAAAAAACACACACATATATATATATATATATATATATATATATATATATATATATATATATATATATATATATATATATATATATACATATGCCAAGAGGCCCATGGGCCACAGCGCTCACCTGAGTAACTTTGGCCTTGCTGTTTTTCTCCTGATTTCTCTACCCCCCCCCCCCCCCCCCCCCCGTAGTACTTATTGTGGCCCGTCCTACCCCCAGGGGTCATGATATTAACAATTAGAATCTACACTACCCCAGGATGCTTTCACATAAGTTTCAGCTTTTCTGGCCCAGTGGTTCTTGAGAAGAAGATTTTTAAAGATTTTTACTACATTTTTCAATGTAAAACTTGAGTCCCTAATGTGGCCCCGTCCTACCCCCGGGAGTCATGATTTGAACAATTTAGAATCTACACTACCCCAGGATGCTTCCACATAAGTTTCAGCTTTTCTGGTCCAGTGGTTCTTGAGAAGAAGATTTTTAAAGATTTTTACTATATATTTCAATAAAACTTGGATTCCCTATTGTGGCCCTGCTCTACCTCCGGGGGTCATGATTTGAATAATTTAGAATCTACACTACCCCAGGATGCTTCCAAATAAGTTTCAGCTTTTCTGGCCCAGTGGTTCTTGAGAAGAAGATTTTTAAAGATTTTTTCTATATATTTCAATGTAAAACTTGGATTCCCTATTGTGGCCCTGTCCTACCTCCGGGGGTCATGATTTGAATAATTTAGAATCTACACTACCCCAGGATGCTTCCACATAAGTTTCAGCTTTTCTGGCCCAGTTGTTCTTGAGAAGAAGGTTTTTTAATGACCCCACCCAATTTTTGTATTTTCTTGATTATCTCCCCTTTGAAGGGGACTTGGCCCTTCATTTAAACTCCCCTTCACCCAAGGATGCTTTTACCAAGTTTGGTTAAAATTGGGACAGTGGTTCTTGAGAAGAAGTCGAAAATGTGAAAAGTTTACAGACGGACGGACGGACAACGGACAACAGATGATCAGAAAAGCTCACTTGAGCTTTCAGCTCAGGTGAGCTAATAAAGCACTAGAAATCTATGAAAATTACACAACATGGACATTTAAAGTAGTACATATTTATACAAGCCCATCATCATGACATTATGGTCAGCCTGATCAATTATTGAGAAGTCCATCAGAAATTTTTCAAGCCTGGACCATGTTGACTTTTTTTAACACAAACTTTTCTTCACAACTTTGCTTTATAATTGTTGAACAAACCACTAGCAAACACATAAAGTTTTTTTTTCTTTTTAAATAACAATCAAACCTTGTTATCTTGAACTCCATGAGACCAAGGGAATAACTTCCATAAAATATTCCCATGTTTGAGATACTGAGGTTAAAATACATAGAAGAAAAATGGTTGGGACTTCAAACTCACTTTAAAATATCCATGGTATTTAATGCATTTGATATTCAAGATTCTATATACTTACTTATACATGTATTTCATTTCATCACTTGTTAACTCCTTTATACCATGGATATATGTCATATGATATCGTTTCAATATCAACAGTTGTGATGGTGGGAGATCTTATACATGTTAAATAACTAAATTCCAAATTAGGGCTGTCACGGTTCCAAAATTTTTTGGGTCGGGTCGGTTCTGTAAATTTTCGGTTCGGTTTTGGGTTTTTCAGGTCGGGTATTTACATCTATTTTAAACCTTAATTTCATGAATTTAATTTGAAAAGTCTTTATTTGTTACATTAGATTTACATTGAAAACAAGTCTTAACCATGCGAATGTCTAGACATCGGTGACTTGGCCTACTATTAGCCACAACCTGACCATTCCTGCTCGTTTTGATAATTATCTAATACTTCCGTGACAAGTGTTTTGTCATGGAATGAAGTAGATTTCAGTTGTGACGTTTATTTTTCACTGTTATCGTCATCATTCCTTTGATTTCGACGCCATTTTTTGTACTGAACAGACTCTAATATATAAACCAGACCCGGACCGAAATCCGGAAAAATGGAACCGGAACCGAACCGAACAACTTGGACCGCAGTTCTCGGTTATTTCGGGTACTCGTGACAGCCCTATTCCAAATGCCCTTAAAACATCTAGATCACTCTTGAAACCTCTGGGAAATAGCAGTATTAATTACATTTTTTAAAAAAAGTTACCTCGATCATTCCTGCTCTTGCAGAAACAGAGAATGACATGGTCACAGCAAAGCTTCTCCTCTGCATACTCCAAAAGTGTGATCAAGCTGTGGATATATATATTTATAATTCAATTATGCTTCATTTATACCATGTGCAGAATATTTTTGAATATTAGATTTTCCATGACAGTTGACTCTGCTTATTTCCAATGAATATCTCTTAATTGTAAAGGAATCCATAATAAATAAAAATTTTAATCTTTATAGCTAGGAAGCTTTTGGATATGTTTTTGACCACTGTTTGACTGTGGAAAGTTTAAGCAAATGATGTACATCTTATTCCTAACGTAGCATTATTCATGGTTCATTTTTCCATACCTTTCCTTAGAACCTTCAGGCAGAATTCCGTTGGGAACTTCCACGTACAGGTTTCCGCTAGTCAAAATGGTCTCCCAGGTGACCTTATGACCTCCAGACAAATGCACAGTAAAGCTCAGATTTGTGGACATGTGAGCTTCTGCTAAAATGCTACTGTTGTCAACCTACAAAAAAAAAACATACACAATCAAATTAGTTGATTAATTATACAAACAGAGTGATTTAGGCAATAGTACTCTAGTTTCTTATCTCCAGATTATAAAGCAGGGTTGTCCGTAAGACCCGGTGGTTGGGAATTTCCCTGCCTATAGTGACATAATTCCACGGTTACTCTGGTATTCCCCCTCATCCTCCTGTGAAGGAAGGAACCCCAGAACCCCCTCTACTTTTTTAATGTCCCCTGCTATTTTAATTCTAAAGGTACAACATTGATAAAGTAACAAAAGCTCCCTGAGATTGGCTCTGTCATAATGCATATTTAAGTGGTAATTCTAGAACTCCTACGAAACCCCTTTCTTTGACCTAAAACTAAGCTTAAATAATGTCATGTTAATAAGTATCATTTTCACTACTGAATACTATATACATTGTACACAAGCAAATATTCAAGTTCAAGTTCTTTACTGACTTTGAGCTTTACAGCTTATCAGTGATGCTGTGGAGATTTTTAGTAATAACCATACTAACATTTATTTCAATTTTAAAACCCTATATATTTAGTAAGTTCTAATACGCTATTTTTCTCTATTCCTAATCTATACCTGTGCATTGCGGTTGTTTTCCTTAATAAACAGGCTTTTAGCACTGACAGGGGGCTCTGTTAAAACCCCCACGCCGTTGCCCTCTGTCACGAATGACACGTTGACGGCGTGGGGAACATCAGGAGCACGACCGAGGCCCTGCACCGAGCGATATACAATATCGCTTACTGGGTACGCTGAAAGGAGAAAATGAAAGTAAGTCAAATTAAAACTGAAAGTTAAACAGGAAAGAGGTAAAATCAAATTTAAAACTGAAAGTAAAACATCTGCAAGAAAGCAAACTACATGAAACCACATCAGTACAAAAGGAAAATCTATTGTACAAATCTTTTATGAGGTTCTGCATATATCATAGATGTAAAACTGTAGCTATTCCTACTGACATTTATGGTTTGTCTTTCAATTTTTTTCCCCAGAGAGGAATATACATGTAGCTACTTGGGAAGACAAAATTGGACTGGCGTCAAGTGAGAAAATCTGTGGTATGTATATCCCGATTTTTTTTCTCTGAGAGCTAGAGTTCAGTTCTGCAGCATTATTTAATTTAAAAAAATTACATAAGCTTTAAGACTCCACTAGATTTACTTATTTCATCATCGCAGTCCCGGCTTATCTTCCTTTATCAAATCTCAACGTAAAATAAGACCACTGATTACTAGGTCAATGACCTATTTTTCCAGTCTTTTTCCAAGTTCAATAAAGAATTTCATTCATTATTGTATAAGTTGTAAGCTTCGTGAGATTCGAACACTGATTTAATTAATCATCAATTACTCCCATCCTTTTAATTTTATTATTCCCCATATTGATTAGACCTAAATAAATGATCAGCTGACTCGCACGTCACAACATCGTGTCATCACGGGTCACACATTGTTTTTCCGAGAACTACTATCACTCATGAACTTGAATTCTTTCTTATTCTTATAAATTACATAATAATTGTCCATCTTATACACGATTTTCCCTAATGATCTTTAGTACCTCTATGGTTGACTTTGACCTCTATCTCAACAATAACAAAAAATGGTCGACTTGTTTTTCACTGATAATATAGTCAATATATATAAAGAAAAAATATACTTACAGATTTGTACTATGTAACGCAGGCATTTTCTCTTTTTCTTCTTTCTCCTTCGGGCCAAAGTTTTCGTCTAATATTATGGCGTCTGCGGCCCTCAACATAACTTTCTCGGCGTGTTTGTACACCCCGAGTTCACTACGTTTGTAAAAATCTTCCGGATTGTTTATCGTTTTATTGAAGTCATTCGGTATTTTCCGGAAATGCGCAATGATGCGTGTAAGGATCACTCGGCACACCTCGATCCAGTTTGATGCTATGACGGAATCATCCGAGATTTACCGAATGTTACGGAATATGTCGAAGTAGCTTTCGATCATCATCGGGATTTCAAAAATTGCTGTCATTTCGATCCCGATTTTAAAATACATCTTAGGGATATGCGAAATTTGCGATAAAATAAACCTTCAAAACGAGCATTTTTTTAATTGCAGAAATGCTTTTGAGCATTCATTTTAATATTTTCAACCAATTTTTTAATAACAAATTATATACGTTATAAGGATTTCCAAAAATTGTTATGACGAATAAAATTCGATTTAACATGCAATTCAAAATTTCGATATATATCGAAATCAAAATTATTTTTGTCAGGTCCTAAATGGGCTTCCGCACAGATCAGATCAGATCAGAATTTTTTTTTTTAAAGCCGAGTTTATAAAAACGATAAACATAAGCTCTGTAAAGCATTGGAAATTGATAAACATGTTAATTAATTTCATAATTGTTATAACAATTTATAGAAATGTGTTTCAAGAAATTTATCATTTTTATAGAAAATTAATAATTTGTTTCAACAAAAAAAGAAAGATCCCTATACGCTTCTGTATATATGAGTTTGATTTTGATCATACAATAATGAGAGTGAGATTACAGGCCCGTAAAAGGCGGAAGGGGGGGGGCACTTTTTCTGAGTATAGTATTTTGCTATAGAAAATTTTCCTTAAGATCCTGCGCCCCTCACTTTTTGTTGCCAAGGTCAAGCACTGGCAAATTCCATGATTTGGACAGTTAATTATTTTTTTTTAATTTATTTATTTATTATTATTATTTATTTATTTATTTATTTTTTGCTTGACAGATTTTTGGGGGAAGTTCGCCCCCACTTTTGAAAGCATTGCTATGGACCTGGATTAAAAATGACGACAAAGAGAGAGGCCAGTCTGATTAAAACCAGCCCCTTCTCCTTTCACTCATCAGGAAAGGAGAAGGGGGCTGGTTTTAATCAGACTGAGAAAGGGGGCTAACTTATACCACGCCACATTTTCTGCAAGCCCTGCATAATATATATCCTCACACGCACTTTTCACCCTCCTTTGGAGTACAAAAAAGAAAGAAAGAAGAAGTATAGAACTAGATTTATATTACTCTTAATCAGTTTTTAGAGCTCTAAGCTATTTTTAACCAATTAAAATATTTTAAGCCTTGCTTAAGAAATCTTTTATCAACTACAATATTTACAGGCATGCATTTTAAAACAAAAATGTAATATATGGAGATTGAAAACTGCAACTGCACTTAAACGGACATACATTTACATGTAATGACGTTTACAAGGTGAAATGTTGGAATAGATAACACAAACACGTGCACTCCACGACTGAATGAGGTCGCTTACTACAAAACTGTAAGAAATATTTCACAATACTATATTAAAGAATCTTATCATATGTTTATACATAATATTGATGGTGTAATTGGTGTTCAGCGTTTCACTTCAAATAAATCGCTAATTTTTGAAACATGTATCTAGTGAAATCTTGTTTTAACGTTTTTTTATACCAGCTAGGGAAATATACATACAATATTCGGGCTTGTCTGCAAGAAAGTCCCATTCATCGGACCAGTTCGTAAGAATAATGTACTAGTATCTTCGGGTTACATGCATTAGTTTTAGAAAAGATATTAGAATCTATGGCCACCGTTTGTTGTAAATATATATTTTCGTAATTTTCGTAAGAATGATATTACAGTTGGTTATGTTAGAAGGTATATATATATCTACAATATTAAGTTCGCATATATAGTAGTTATTTATGTATCTTTCTTGTTCACGATCGGAAAAAGTATATGATCTTTGACAATTTTTTGTGCACATGTGGTTTGTTTTAAGATCAGTGGACCTTTTCACAAAATGTCAAGTTTAGTTGACGACTAAGTTTAGATTATGACTAAAACAAAAATTTTCTAATTCTCTCGAAAGTATCTAAGCTGTAATATGGTCACAAAAATCATATATTTCTCTTATATGATATTGTGAATACTCCTGTAGAAAATATAACCATCTTAATCATGTTAATTGAACAAAGAAATAACAGAAATTATCTTTTTTTCTTAGTTGTAAAATTTTGTTGAGAAAAAAGGATTTCGGGGATAAGGGCATATAAGAGGAACTGATCCTTTAAATTAATTTGTGATACTTAAGTTTGCGTAGTAAGAAAATTAGTGTAGGCGAGGTCGAAGGGAATTGTTCTTTTAGGTTTTGTGGTTACAGTATGAAGCTTTGGATTATATATGTATTTTATAACTTCTGGCATGCAGGCCCCTAGGAAGCAATTTCAGTTGGGAAGGGGAGTTGGGGGGGGGGGGGTGCAACCAAACATTTTCATTTTTACTGGGGGGGGGGGGCAAAGGTAAATAAAAAAAATCACCGGACGTAATTCTTGAGGGATAACATCTATAAAGTACATGTAACCTTTTTTCTCAAGTAACTTTGTTTCTACAGTATACTATATACATGTATACATCGGTAAGTTTTTTTTTTTTTTTTTTTGGGGGGGGGGGGGGGGGGGCTTCAAGATTCCTACGGCCTGAGTTCTTCATATATTTATATGAGCATAGCTTTTAGCTAATGTTCCTTCTGATCTGAATGTAAGAATAGGCCCTTCCTTTGAAATCCATTGTGGTTGACTGGTGAATAAACTTGTGGATCAATGGAGACCACGTAAACCTGCATATAAGTCTTTTTATATATAGTAAGACACATGTTTCTGTAAAGTCAGCATTTGTGAGGGTGAATGCACATACCCCTTCCCCCGCATCTGTTATACATCCTACAAAATTCCTCGGTTCCCTCCGTAACCACTTGTTTTTTTTTTTTTTTTTTTTTTTTTTATTTCTAACCCCTGTAATTTCCTCCATGTTTTGCCTATCCATTAAACCTCCGCCACTTTCATTGCATTGATGCATCTTTCTATTTCTACAGAGAGAGAGAGAGAGAGAGAGAGAGAGAGAGAGAGAGAGAGATTGTGTCTTAGGGTACACAGCACCAAATATAGTGAGAATGGGTATTATTTTCTCACTTTCTTGTCCAGTAATCCTCTTGGAGGAAAATTATTAAAGGACTCCTGCTTCAGCTACGGATACTCAAAGCTACCACTACATCGTTATAACTTAGACAAAGCTAAGGAGAATGACACGACTAAAGAAAGTACTAATGAGACAATTGCAACTAAAATTGAACAAAATCGAAGTAAGAATATACATATTGCTATTTTTTGGAATTTTAAAAATAAGCACAGGTAGATATTTTTTTTATTGCTTCCCTTAAAATAAATAAATAAATAAATAAATATATATATATATATATATATATATATATATATATATATATATATATATAGGTATATGAGGTTGTTTGTGGGCACCGACCTTCTAAACAGGTTTGTGGGATCTCGCATTTCTACATTGAATAGCTATGTCATATTCATGATTTAAGCGTTATATATGGTCCTTATATAATATATAATATAATTTTTGAGATAAGATTAAAAATGTTGTATATCATTGTGGGTCATTATTTTCATATATATAGAGCATTGTGGGATAAAGTATATACATCGCACAATGCTCTATTTATGAATATTATGACCCACAATATTATCACATGCTATATATATCATGTCCTGGATTTCACAATGAAAGACATAAGAATTAATATTTGATATAAATAATATATATGTATATTTACATATGTACAAAATAGAATGAATCATTAAGAACAGTTTTGGGGGATTCAATATAAGATTGTAACTATTACTTTTCAAGTATTTTGGGGTCATATTGCATATTAATGACTCACTGCGATATACGATTTATGAGATTCTGAACAAGATATTTTAGGGATATCCTCTCTCTCTCTATATATATATATCCCACAATCTCTTACATACACATATATATAGTGACAAAGATGATTAATCAAATAATGTCCATCCCACAATGTATTATTTATAATTTATTTATTCATTAAGCAATGTTAGATATTGAACGGCATATTTTATCTATACACCTACTTATCCCAGATTTTCTTATATACATATATATTGTGAACCACATTTAAGCATTGAATTCTTATTTCTGAAAGTAATTATACAGGTATAATCACTGCATTGATTCCATAATGTCCAATCCGTAACGTATTTTATTGATTCAACATATAGGATAGCAGACTAATATTATGAGATTCTACACTACATATTTTATGCAATCGCCTGTCCCACAATTCGTTATATACATGTATATATATAGTGACCCACAAACAGCTATGATCACTATACGTATATAACATAATGACCTTCCATTCGTGAATTATTTATTTAAACAATAAAGAGCTTATCAACCTTATATTATGAGATTTTAAAGACAATATCTTACGTATATGCTTACATATCCAAAAGTTTATTATAGACATATTTATATCGTGACCCACAACCAGGTATAATCACTATATTTATCCCACAGTTCATTATATACATATATATACAGTGACCCACAAACATGTATATTCACTATATTTATCCCACAATTCATTATATACATATATACAGGGACCCACAAACATGTATAATCACTATATTTATCCCACAATTCATTATATACATATATACAGTGACCCACAAACAGGTATAATCACTATATTTATCCCACAATTCATTTATACATATATACAGTGACCCACAAACTGTTACAAGCACTACATTTTTATATACATTATATACAGTGACCAACAATCAGGTATAATCACGTGCAATATATTTATCCCACAATTCGTCATATCTATATATACAATGACCCACAAACAGGTATAATCACTTCATTTATCCCATAATTCAGTCCGTTACCATAATATATTTACTATTACCATAATTTATTTATTCAACATACAGCTTATCAGCCATATATTAGA